TAAGGTGTTCTTATAGCCTGTATGGCTAACACTTTGGTGTGAATTTGTTTAAGATCTTATTCCCTCCAGGGACACTTGCAAAGAGAGAAAAGGTGGACTCTCAAACATGAGATTCTGGCTCAGGAAAGATTTAGCTGGGTAAAGGGAACTACCCAACCAAATGAAATTAGGCACAAGTGATGGCTCCATTTTGTAGCCCCTCATCTTCTATTTGCATCCCCAGGTACTTTTGTTCCTTAATCTGTGGTATTTACATTCTCTTATACGTCATGTTGTACACTTTTGAAAACACTTTCAGATAACTTGTTTTCTGTAACGCTCGTTACTCCCCTGCGAGGGAGGTAGTATCGTCTTTATCCAAACAGACTTGAAAATTGTTCTAGATGTTTTAGCTTCTAAAGTTTAGACTCTTCGCAGTCTGCTTACAACATTCTCTATCTTAGTGGTGTTTCCTGATGACTGGGTTTGTTTTTTGATTTATTTGTGTGCATTTTTTGAATAGGTAATGCTCTCTTAGATCCAGTGTCTGATAAATGAATTCTTTATGATACCCACTCCCCTGAGAGTATTTTCTTTTCTTTTTTTTTTAAGATTTTATTTATTTATTTGGCAGAGAGAGATGCAGTGAGAGAGGGAACACAAGCAGGGAGAGTGGGAGAGGGAGAAGCAGGCTTCCCGCGGAGCAGGGAGCCGGAAACGGGGCTCGATCCTAGGACCCTGGGATCATGACCTGAGCAGAAGGCAGACGCTTAACGACTGAGCCACCCAGGCGCCCCGAAAGTATTTTCTTTTCAATAAAGAATTTTTGGAATGCAGGGGTCCTTCAGTCTCCAAGAGAAGTGAGTCTTACATTGGACTTCCCTCTGCTCAGAATACCTTGGCATGAGTGACCCCACCAGTGTGGACCGATTCAGAAAAAAACGATTTAGGGAGTTCTTTACTTTTTTGGAAATCAGCACAAGAGAAGGAGATTTTGCAGGCTTGGGACAAACGTCCTTGATTATTTAAAGAGTTCTAATGTGAAAGAGGAATTATGTTTCTCTTTGTGGGCAGAGGCAGATTTACGATGAAGATAATTAGGTTTAAGCTTTAGGTCTCCAGATTTGTGTGGGCCCCTTCCAAGCCCCTGTACCTAATATTGAACCCTTAAATTTGTGTTATTTCACTTAAGAGCCCTCTCTCGATTGTATGAATTTTAGAACCCACAGAATTGGATCTATCTCTTTTTGTATGACTCCAGAGAGCAAACCAGGACCTTAGATAGAAAGGAAAATCTAGAGTGAGGATGTTCTGTTAAAACCGCCAATTACTTCACTGGCAAAAATTCGGGAATAGCGGAGAATTGCAATTCAGGACATGGAAGTTATGGCAAAACCGTAGGCAAGTCCAGTAAACCAAGGAGAGGATGGCTCTTTTATACAGGAGAGTGGGAAGTTGAGAGGGCTGTTGAAGACAAAACGTCCATTGAAGTAAACTGGGAGTTCCAAGCATAGGGGCTTTTCATTGGTTGAGTTGTGACGGTCTCTCATTGGCTGGGGAGGAGAAAAACCTTTCTACTTCCCACTGGGATAGTAAAGTAGAAGCTAAACCAGCGTAAGGTATGTCTTTTCCTGTTGGGTCTGAGTGGAACAGTGTGAGAGCTCCCCCTGCTGGCCTCTCCACTCCATTCTAAACAGTTTCCTCTTGTTACACCTCTTGGCTCAATAAAGGAAAATCTTTCCATGGGTTAGGACTATTCCACCAAAAAGTGGGTTATTGTGGTAGGCACCCTCTATAGCCCACCCATAGTCATTCTTCCTTGAAACACCCCCTTTTCCTGCTAATAAAACTTGGATTTGTTCAAGAAGTTAATGGAGAGCCCAGATTGGAGAGCAGGCCTTTCCCCAAACCCCAAGAGTGAATTAGGATTGGTGTAAAGATGTCATGGTGTTCCCTTACCCTATGGTCAGTAAGTATCCAAGTCTGGGCAGCTAATATAGTTCTGACTGATGACACAGTGGGTGGTGGGACTTCATTCCCTGAACTAAAATACAAGTCTTCATGAAGGTCTTTCCCCCTTTCCCTTTCATTCGTGGAAGTCAGAAGAGTTGGAGATACTGTAGCCCTTCTGTGGCCAGAGCATAAAAACCAGACTCAACATGCTAAGGATGGCAGAAGAGAAAAAGCAAAAGTGTTTAGGATCCTTATAACATTGTTGAGGACCTGAACCAGTATTAGGCAGCCATTTACCTCTAGATTATTTATGTGAAAAACATTAAATCCTTATTTGCTTAAGTACAGTTAACTGTATTGTGTATTACCTGCAGCCCAAAGCATTTTTACTTAATTCAGTTGTGTTCAAGGAGAAGAACTTCTCTGTCTCTGGTGGGAGCCAATTAGGGGACCAAATTGCCACAAAATAGGGATATTGCAGAGGGTATTTATGTCTTGAAGGGGAAGATTTGGGGAGGGGACAAATTGTTATTAAGAATAATCTTACATGATTAAAGCATGAACGACTTTCCATGACTTAAGTCCTTAGGTTCCATTCTTCTTCCCCAAGTCTTCATATTTCCTTCAGCCTAGAACCATCTTTCTCACCTATTTTTCTCCCCTCATCCACAGCCTCCCTCATCCCCACCCTTGACAGGAGGTAGAGATAAAGATTCAGCAGAAGGGGACAAGAGGACACTTTCTCCAGTTGGTGAGCTATACAACAGTCTAGGACAATGAGGTAGGTTTATAAGTCTTGACAGAAAATGCTATTGATCAGTAAACAGATAAATTACAATACAGCTTTCAAATGTGTAGATGCTGGGTAATAAATAGTTGGAGGGAGACAGCCCTGATAGACTGAGGGGATGGCACTCAAGACTGTAGTTTTCAGGGGCGCCTGGGTGGCTCAGTTGGTTAAGCGGCTACCTTTGGCCCAGGTCATGATCCCAGGGTCCTGGGATCAAGCCCCACGTCTGGCTCCCTGAGCAGGGGGCCTGCTTCTCCCTCTCCCTCTGCCCCTCCCCCTGCTTGCGCGCTCTCTCTCTCTCTCTCTCAAATAAATAAATAAAATCTTTAAAAAAAAAAAAGACTGTAGTTTTCAAACTGGGGTAATCAGTCCCCTGGGGGATACATGAAGACTTTCCAAGAAGTATATAGCCCAGACAGTATTTTTTAAAAAAGAACTTTTTATTATGCAAAAAATTTAAACCTATACATAAAATAGAATAGTTCAATGTACCTATGTACCCAGCTTCAAACTATGGCCCTTTCTTGTTTCATCTATAAATCCATAGCTTCCTTCCCTCCTATATCATAATCATCACCATTGCTTTTTATTGAGATACAGATGCAAAGATGACCCTCAACAATTCCTCCCATCCCTGTACTCCCATGCTGCCTCTCCCATGAGAGGAAATAAAAATGTCCTCCAATTAGATTGTAATGATGGTTGCACAGCTTTGTGAATATACTAAACACCACTGAAGTGTACACTTTAAATGGGTGAATTGTATCATATGTGACATATCTCAATGAAATTATTTTTAAAAAGTAGGGAAAGGAAATTTATTTAAAAGAAAAAAAAAATGAGGTGGATCTTATTGAAACTGGCCTGGCCTTGTGACTTGCTTTGACCATAATAGGCAACAGAAGTGACATGGTGTGACTTCTGGGCATTTCCCTTAATAGGCTTCCGGGCTTGAGCCACCCCAACTACCCTGCTAGAGAAAGAGCACCAGTCAGAACTCAGCTGTTCATTTCAGCCGTCCCAGCTGAAATGCCACAGAGATGCATGAGGCCATTTTGGTAACTCCAACTCCCGTTGAGCTGCCCCAGCCAACACCATGTGGAGCAGAGACCAGCTGTCCCTGCCAAGCCCAACTATTAATTCTTGGGATGGTGGAGGACTGGCAGTGCTAAATCTCCAGAAGGGGCTGAGTATTTGCCTATTCTCATCTCAGCCAGCAGGGACTTCATGCACTTCACACCCTCACAGCTGCCAATGATTCTCTGACTTCCTCAGATGGGGAGGCAGGCTCATAAGGCCCTTCACCTCACAGCTCTCTCTCCCTGGCTTGTCACCTTCCACAGCTCTATTTATTCACCTTTAGGCATGCTGGCTTTCCTTGAGCAGACCAAGCACCCACCCAACGGGGCCTTTGGAGTTAACCTCTGCTCTTCCCCCAGGGGTCCACGGAACCACTCCTTCACCTCCTTTCCATTTTCACTCAAAGGTCACCTTATTGAGGCCTTCCTTCTTACCTAGCTAGTCTATCTAAAATGACAACTTCTTATTCCCTATCTCTGTCCCCTGCTTTGATTTTTCTCTATCATTTAGCACTGCCTAACATAGCATTTGATTTTACTTATTTATCTCATTTATTTTCTGTCTCCCCAGCTAGTACTTAACCTGCATGAGGGATTTTTGTCTGTCTTGATTATTTGCTGTATCTCCAGTGTCTAGAAAACAGCCTGGCCCATAATAGGCAATTTCACAAATTATCTGTGGAAAGAACGGATGAAATGTTCCCTGGTCACAGAGGATCTCCTTGACCACTCTATGTTAAACAGAAATCTATTTCCCGTTCCCTTTTTTTTCTTCATGATACCACTATTTGATATGTATTTGTTACCGTCTTTCTCCTCACTACAATGAAAGTTCCTCTAACAATGGGGCACTAAAGATTGCTGAGTGAATTAATTTCTCGAACAAATGGATAAATGAATCTAGCAGCACCTGATGCTGGGCTCAGACAGCGCTAAGCTACCTTTGGGATGGGACTAATTTGGGGGCTCTCCGCGGGCGTGCACCCCCTCCCAAGGAGGAGTCTGATAAACAGGGCTGGATTGCGGCAGCGCCCCTTTAAACCAGCCCGGGACGCCGGGCCGCGAGCACTGGTGGCAGATTCGGCGGGGCCTGGCATCGCCGGTTTAACCCGAGTCTCACCCAGTCCGGCGATTTCCGGGGCGGTGTCATTGCCCATTTAAGAGCAGAGCGCCCCGCCCCCCGGAGGGCGGAGCCTAGAAGGGGCTTTAAGGGGCGGGCCGGCGGACGGCTAGGGTCCTTCAGAGGATTAGCGCAGGGTGGGCGCGCGCCTCAGGCCGCCATTTCTTGGCGTCTCCAGAGGAGTCGCCCCCTGTTCAGTCGCTCTCGGGACCTCTACCCCCGCGTCGCCGGCTCTCCGCGTCGCCTTAGCCACCGCGCCTCCGTCCCCAGCCCAGGTAAGCGCGAGGCCCGTGGCCCCGGCCGCACTGCCCAAGTACCGGGCTCGGTCCACGCCCCGCTTCCCCTCACCGCTCCGGGGACCCCTTCTGGCTGGCGTCGGGGCTCTGTTCTCCCGGCCTCGCCCAGGGACGCTCCGGCTCCCGCTGCTTCCCCGGCCCGCCGGCAAAATATTAAACCTGCCGGGAGGGGAGGGGCGGCGGCGGCCAATGGGGCCGGGCCGCTGAGTTTCGGGCGATACTGGGCGGCGCGGCCGGAGCGGGGAGCCGGGGGTGAGGCGGGTTAATGTTTGTCGGCCCGACCCCTGCCCGTTCCTGGCCATGACTCCCTCCCGAGCAGCCGGGGGTCGCCCTTCACTAAGAGGTCTCGGCTCAGCTGTCTGGTTGGCGAGGGGGATATGGCAGGTCAAGGGATAAAACCCACCGTGGTTCGTGTCACGGTCTTAAAACAAAAACCCGAGTGGACTTTTGTGGTTGGTTCGCGTTGGACTGAAACTTCAGCCACTTGGAAATTGTGAGAGGCAGGTGGGTTCCCAGCAATGGCGGGAGCCAAAGGATCCTCCCCCGCCCCCACCCGTGACTCTGGGCATGTTAAGGTTGGGGTTTTTCGGTGTGTAAACATTAATTGTACCTGTCACTATCGTTATGGTTACTAAATCTCATGAATTTTAGTTAAAAGCGAGAAGACCCAGGTCTTTTAAACCTTTTGACAACATTTTAAATTGATATCAGGAGTATTTTTTTTAAGAATTAGGGGGGAAATTACCCATAACTCCATTTCTGACATTGCTAAAACATTGCTGAACCCTACTTAACATAGTGGATTATTAGTACACGTAAGCTAGTTTGCAGGGTTTTCTTTTTATAGGTAAGCTTCATTAGAAAATGATATGTATTACTTCTGTTGAGTTACTCTACTGCGGACGTTTTCTGTGTTGGGATTAAGGAGGCCAAAGATATTAATATCTATGGCACTTACTGTATATTGGTATATTGCTTTATGAAAAAGCATTTGCCTACCAAAGAATGTGGCCACCCGTTACATACGAGAGTATACATATTTCATGACAAACTTGAGTTTTAGATACATACTTAAAAAAAAAACTTTCAGTTAATCTAGGTAGTAAATGGATTATTTCAGTTTGCATTTTTATGATTGTAAAGAATACCTTTCTTTATAGAGAAAAATGAGAAATCACAGATTAAAAACGCATTAAAAGAAAAAAAAAAAAACAGGGCACCTGGGTGGCTCACCCAGTTGATTAAGCGACTGCCTTCGGCTCAGGTCATGATCCCGGAGTGCCGGGATCGGGATCGGGATCGAGTCCCGCATCGGGCTCCCTGCTCAGCGGGGAATCTGCTTCTCCCTCTAACCCTACCCCCTCTGTGCTCTCTCTCACTCACTCTCGCTCTCAAATAAATAAAATAAAATCTTTAAAAAAAAAACAAAAAAACCATGTACACCTACTCTCTGAAAATTCCACTGTATCATTTTAGTGTCAGACAAGTTCTTTATTGAGTGCCTAATATGCTGATTGCCGTGCTAGCTAGGTCATCTTGCTGCATGAGTCAGACCAGATCCTTGAGTCTTAGTGGGGAAGTACCCAGTAAAAAAAATAATTAAACAGTTGGGTATTTAATTACAGTTTTGGTAAATGTTATAAAAAAGAGTCTAAGGGTACTAAAAGGAGCACCTAATTTAGACTCAGGAGTCAGGGAATGCTTTTCTGAGGAAATGGGAGAGAGGTGAAGTGGAAAGAGAGCATTCCAGAAAGATGGAACAACCCCCCCCCCCAAAAAAAAAGGTCCACAGTTAAAAAGATAGTTGGATTGAGCAGAAGGGATACTAGAGCAGAGTGAACAGCTGGGAGTGGTCTGCCTGAAGGGTCTGGCAGGTAGGAGGAGTTGGATCCAGAGCAAGACCATTAAAGATTTTTTAACTGGGATCAGATTTGTGGTTGCTAAAAATCCACTGCTGTAGCATTTAGAATGAAAGTGATAGTGAGGGATGGAGAAAGAGTGAATATGGGAAAACTTTTTTTCTTTTAACAATTTTTTTTTTTTAAGTAGGCTCCGACATGGAGCCTAACGCAGGGCTTAAACTCATGACTCTGAGATCAAGACCTGAGCTGAAATCAAGAGTCGGATGCTCAACTGACTGAGCCATCCAGGTGTCACTTAATAATTTTTAAAAACTCCTTTGGCACATTCATATATTCTTACTAAAGAGGACTTAAGTACCTCCACATGACCCTCTCCAGAGATAACCTCACTTAACAGCTTGCACGTCTTAGTCGGCCTTCGGCTCAGGTCATGATCTCAGGGTCCTGGGATTGAGCCCTGCAGAGCCCCACATCGGGCTCCCTGCTCAGCGGGGAGTCTGCTTCTCCCTCTCCCTCTGCCTCCTCCTCCGCTCATGCTCTGTTTCTGCCTCTCAATCTTAAAAAAAAACAACAACAATAGTTTGCATGTCTTAGTCGTTTTGTGTATACGAGGGATAAAACTTACCACTTTTCTCTGATTTCATTTTTTACTTAGAAATTTTGTCGGTGTCTAAGTCAGTTGTATTTAAAAAACAGCTGTGTTGTATACCATTTGATGTACCATAATTTGTTTAACTACTTGCATGTTGATGGACATATTTAAAATTTAAAATTATGCCCTGAAAATCCTTACTTCTACAACTTGGATCACATCCTATTTCTTAGGATATCCTACCAAAAATATAATTGCTGAGTGAAAGTGTAGGCACATGAACATTTTTGATAGTGTGGTTAAATCCTCCAAAGAGGACAGTGTAGGGTGATTGTTTTTCCCATATCCTTTCAGTGGTAGAATTCTCGCCTGCCCATATGCTTTTCAACATTGGCTTTCTTGAGTCTTAAATGACTGTATCTTTTTTTGTTTGTTTGTTTAAAGATTTTTAAAATTTTTATTTATTTGACAGAGAGAGAGACAGTGAGATAGGGAACACAATCGGGGGAGTGGGAGAGGGAGAAGCAGGCTTCCCGCCAAGCAGGGATCCCGATATGGGGCTTGATCCCAGGACCCTGGGATCATGACCTGAACCGAAGGCAGATGCTTAATGACTAAGCCACCCAGGTGCCCGATAGTATCTTATTTTTTTAATTTAGATTTCCTTTGTTATTGTTGAGGTCAAACATTATTTTGTACATATTTTCATTTCATACTCTCTTTTAGAACTTGTTTCTTCATATCTTGCCCTTTTTTTCTGTTGCATTATCTTAATGGTTTGTGATAGTTCTTTATTAAACTGCATATTAATCCTTTAAAAAATTTTAAAAGCTCTTTAATATATTGTCTCCTTCTAGTACTTTATCATTTCTTTGATTAAATTCTTAGTCCATCTGAAATTTATTTTCATGTAAGTTGCTTTTATATTCTGTAAAAAGAAGTTGTTTGTGACATTGGGTTTTATGGTTCAAAATACATAGTTATTAAATCTTTTTTTTTTTTTTAAGATTTTATTTATTTATTTGACAGAGAGACAACGAGAGCAGGAACACAAGCAGGGAGAGTGGGAGAGGGAGAAACAGGCCTCCCGCCGAGCAGGGAGCCTGATGCGGTGCTCTATCCCGACCTGAGCTGAAAGCAGATGCTTAAGGACTGAGCCACCCAGGCGCCCCCATAGTTATTAAATCTTAAAGAAGCTTTGTTTTTTCTTAGCAGGTTAACTCTACTTGCGTAATGAATTTTTATTTTCAAGGTACAAGATAAGGTGAAAGTCAGAAAACTTGTTTTATAGTTCATTTACTTCCTAGGAATCACAGTTGTAGTGCATTTTGAACATGATTTTCCCTTAGAAAAACTTTTATTTTGGAAAAATTCAAGTAGTCAGAAGAGTATAATGAACCCCCATGTACCCATCATGCTCCAACAATGGCCACTTATCTGGGCAATTTGTTTAGTTTCTATCCCCACTTTACTTTAATACCACTATTTTATCTAAAAGAAAAATGGCAGTAATTCCTTGGTTATCATAAACAATCCAGTCAGTGTTCAAATGTGTGCCAAATTTATGTCCTTAGGAAGTTCAAATGAGAACTGTCATGGCTTTGCTAGCTTACCTAATTACATAGCAATATGCATACTTATAAAATGAGGATATAATCCTCAATTTATAGCAATTGAATTTTTTATTACGTTGATATTATTCCAGTATTTCAGCTTTTATTTTCATCATGTTTATAAATGCATCTAATTTAAATTTTATTATTTTTATTATCTTTTCTTTTTTGATCGAGATTGAGAGAGAGAAAGAGAGAGAAAGAAAACAAGTGAGCAGGGTGAGAGGGAGAGAAACTCCTAAGCGGGTTCCACAGTGCAGAGCTGATGTGGGTCTCAGTCTCACGATCTCAAGATCATGACCTGAGCTGTAATCAAGAGTCGGAAGCTTAACCAACTGAGCCACCCAGGCACCCCACTGTCTGGTTATACAAGACTTCTTATAAATTATACGTGTAACAACAAATGTGTGACTTTTTTTTTTTTTTTTTAAGATTTTATCTATTTAGAGAGAGAGAGAGAGACAGCATGAGCGGGAGGGGTAGAGGGAGAAAGAGAATCCCAAGCAGACTCTGCACTGAGCGCAGAGCAACACGGGGCTCAATCTCAGGACCTGAGCTGAAACCAATAGTCGGACGCTCAAAACGACTGCACCTCCCTGGCGCCCCAACAAATATGTGACTTTAAAATTTCCTATATTTTGAAATAATATTAGACTTATGTGGAAGTTACAGTAGTAGAGTTCCCATATACCTTTGACTTAGCTTCCCCCAATGATAATATCAGACAACTTAAAAAAAAATTTGAATTAGGATCTAATGTAGGTGCATTGTGATTGATGGATATGTATTTTAAGTCTGTTTTAATCTGTAGTTTTCTTTGCATTTCTTTTTCCCCCTTGCAATTTGTCGAGTAAGCTGAAGTAAGTTTTTAAAAAAACAAATTTATCATGTATGTTTTGTGCTTGTATTTTCATTCAGACTCTTTTTAGCTATGATCTTTGATGATTTATCTCTAAAATACAAGTTTTACATGAATTGTTCTGTGGTGAGATAGAAAGAGAGACCAAGATTTGGAATCAGAAAAATCAGAGTTTGATTTTTTTTTTAATGTCTTCATTATTTACTAAATCATGGACCTGGCCAGTGGTTTCATTTATCGGACCCTTAGTTTACTCATCAAAATAAAACAGTATTTTGGGGAGTTTTTCTGTGAAGCAAGTAAGATTATTTACTTACCATTTGTTGTACTTAATGATGAAATGTTCTGGGTGGTTGGCTATTCAAAATAGGAATTATGTCTTCAGGAGCTTAAGATAAATGAGACAGACATGTAAATAAATAATTAAAATCTGATTAGTGAAACAGTAAAATATATTTTCAAGTTTCAGTGGAAGTGTGATGATGGAAGTGACTAACTCTGGTTATCAGAGAACGTTTCTCAGGGGAGATACAGGTAGAGTTGAGTTAAATAGATAGGGAGTCTCTGACACATGGGCTTTCCACATCTGGTGTAACAAGTACCTTTCTTAGGCAGCTGAAACGAGAATGGATAGCAAAGTGCAAAAGGAGCAATGTCTGAAGAGAAACCTGAAAAGAAAGAGACTGCAGCCAGATGTTATATATGAGTGCTTTGTAAACTGAAAAGGGATCTAAAATTTTATTTTCTTGGGATTTAAGTAGATGAACATACATCTTATCCTTTGTTCATAATTTTGTCCATATTTTACTCAATAATGTAGGAATATCCATATGTGTGATATGTGTATGATCTTCGTATGATCTTCAGTTTATAGGCACTTATTTTTTAATGTGCTGGTATTTATTTTTAAATTAGTTTTTATTTTAATCAAGTTTATAAATGTATCTAGTTGAGTCACCTAATCTGAAGGCTTCTTTTGAAAAATAGCACTCTGCTGAGTTCTGTCCTCAAGACAAACACTTTCACATTTTAAGTAACATGCTTTTATTGTCACTTCTTGATATTTGGTTTCAGGAATTATCTGTTGAATTCCAACTTGGCAAGATGAGGAGTTGGCTCTCTGCATCTACCTCTGTTATATACCTCCTCTTATAGTTTTTTTATAGTTATGGTTAGATCAATATTTAATGTTTATAGTATTATGAATATTTAAACTATTAGCTAAGTCATGTAGTATACTGTGATTACTTTCCCTTTTCTGCTCAACTTCTTGTTTTCTCTGGAATTAATCCGTGTCTTTAACTTATTTTTCTCATTCTCTTATTTGCATAAATTAAACATTAGGTTAGCAAGATAGTTTTTATGGTGTTACCATTTGTGTTTGCTGTATTTTAAAAATTACTAAACTAGGGGCGCCTGGGTGGCTCAGCTGGTTAAGCTCTGCCTTCAGCTCACTTCTGCTTAGTGGGGAGCCTGCTTCTCCCTCTCCCTCTGCCTGCCGTTCCTCCTGCTTTTGTGCTCTCTGTCAAATAAATAAAATCTTAAAAAAATAAAAAAATAAGATTACTAAACCTATTTAATTATTTTGATTAAACTTAACATCCTTTTTTTTTTTTAAAGATTTTATTTATTTAACAGAGAGAGACACAGTGAGACAGGGCACACAGCACGGGGAGAGGGAGAGGGAGAAGCAGGCTCCCCGCCAAGCAGGGAGCCCAATGCGGGGCTCAATCCCAGGACCCTAGGACCATGACCTGAGCCGAAGGCAGACGCTTAACAACTAAGCCACTCAGGCGCCCCTAAACTTAACATTCTTAATAAAGATAAGAAGTGGCCTTAAAATAATTTAACATTATAAATAATTGACTCTATTAAATAGCAATTAAAAATCTTTAAATAATAGAATATTTAATAAAAACATAATATTTGAATTATATTTGTATTTTAGCTGAGATAGGTGATTATTTGTTTATTTATTTTTTTAAGATTTTATTTTTAACTAATCTCCACACCCAGTGTGGAGCTCAAACCTACAACCCTGAGATCAGGAGTCGAGTGCTTCACCCACTGAACGAGCCAGGCGCCCGTGTTTGTATTTTTATTGTGATTGCTCAGAAAAGAAATGGAACTTTTTAGGAATGTTATGATCATCAAAGGATAAGTTAGCGTATGGATTGTCTCCTAATGTTTGTAGAGATATACGGCAATTGTACATAAAATTCATTGACCCAGAAGGCCTGATAAACTTCATAAATGTTCGTTGTCTGTCAGCTTCTTATAAAATAGACCAGTAAGTTTAGAAATGCTGTAAGTCATAGCTCTGTTGTATATAAAAGTTTTCAAAAACTGTGAGTTAAAGTAGCCAGTTTTAATTATGTTTTTCAAATTTACTTGCTCCTTTTAATAGTATGTCTGTAATGGCCATAGGATTTTACTAAATAACACCATTTGTCTGCACATTGTGGGGAGTCTGCTAATACCTTTTTCTCTCTCTGGTTTTATTAGTGACAAAAATGCTGAGCTTCTTTCGTAGAACACTTGGGCGTCGGTCAATGCGTAAACATGCTGAGAAGGAACGACTCCGAGAAGCTCAGCGAGCTGCCACACACATTCCTGCCGCTGGAGACTCTAAGTCCATCATCACATGTCGGGTGTCTCTTCTGGATGGTACTGATGTTAGTGTGGACTTGCCGGTATGTAGGTCCTGCTGAGCATTTGCAGATTCTATATGAGACGACTTTCTTCATTTGAACTTTCTACTGGTAACTTCCTGAGGAAATTAGGTAATATGGGTTAGTGTGGATCAGGCACTGTAACATTGAGGTACATGGATCAAGATACCCAGCATGATAATATTTCTCTGGGATTAATGGAAGTTACCTGAAATATTTAAATGATAGGGTAGTTATTGGCACAGATCATTTATGAATTTATGTGTGTTCTTTATGATGGCAGTACATAGGGTACTCTAGTGGATTTCTCACAATCCTTGTTGAGCAATTATTAAAACAATGAGAATATTTGGGAATAATGATACATGTATACTATAAGATTTTTAATTTTCTATATTTTTCTTTAATTTTCAAAACACTCCTCACTTTTCCTTAAAACATATTTCTTCAACATTTTTAGTGTGCTTGCAGAAATTTTAATGAAATGCAGTAAAAGGACTTCATACTCCTCAGCTCTGTTTATCTCTTTGCTTCCAAAGTAGTTTGCAGAGGAGGTTTTTTATACACTGTAATCTTTATTTTAAGACAGGATGTTGTGATTTTATTAAAATTTTAGGTGGTTTCTTTTTGTAGGTATGAATGTATAATTATAGCTCACGATGTGAAACAGTCTGATATATTTGAAAAGGGTTAACTTACGCCTTTTTGAGGGGCAAGAGAGGTAGTTATATGGTTTGGGGTGCAGTTGAGTTTCTTTCTGAGCTATTTACTAATACCAAATGTCTTTATTCTGCATTAAAAGATATATGTAATGGGGCGCCTGGGTGGCTCAGTCAGTTAAACCTCTGACTCTTGGTTTTCTGCTCAGGTCATGATCCTCTAGTTTGTGGGATCGAGCTCCACGTCGGGTTCTGCACTCAGCACAGGGGGTCTGCTTGAGATTCTTTCTCCCTGCCTCTCCCTTCCTCTCTGCTCCTTCCCCTGCGCACATTCTCTCTCAAATAAATAAATAAAATCTTAAAAAAAAGATTTATGTAACTAAGCTATAAAATGTATGATTTGATGTGTCATTGGATGTTCACAGTCTTCCCTCCCTACACATTCTTTTTAATATACACCTATATACCCAAAATGCAATAAAAAAGGTCTTTGTGCAAGGTGGTAGCCTAAATGCTGCTACAGTATACAGTTGAATAAACTCTGAAAGACCTTTAACGTAACCTTTAACTGTGACCTTTAACTCACAGAGTGAGACTAAGGAATTAGTTTGTTTAAATGAATATTCTGATTAATTGGATAATTTAGAATGTACTAGATATATACCTTACACATTTTAAAAATAATGGAATGTGATAAAATTAAACATAGGATTTCTTGAAGTGTTTTGAAGTAATCATCATGGGTATGTTTTATTATCTTTTTACGTTAGACTGGACATCTTTAGGGTTTTTGATTCTGGAAGACTTGAAGGTATTTACATTTTCTTCCTGTAAGGGCTTCTTGGGGTTTGTCAAGCATTCCAATATGTGATACTTCTTTGAGGAGTTTTCATATTCATTTCTTTCTTGATAAGTATCTTAAGGGTTTTGTGTACTATTCCATTAAAATATCATTAGATATGTGATAAAAAGCTTGAGATTGCTGTGTAAGAGACTGGAAAGAAGTTTCTTATTACCTAATGTTTGAAGTATGCAGTCTCAGGGTTATGGATGGAGAGGCTAGGAAATACTAGGAAAGTAGACTTGGTAAAGGATCTTGTTAAAGAGGCAGTGTAGTGTGGAGGAGAAGCAGCACGAGGTTTTAAAGTAGCGGAACAAATGGCTAGTGACTGGTACAGAATGGTTTCCTATGCTTGGTATGCTCAGTAGGTTGGATGTGATGCTTGATCAAGGCCAGAAGTGCTAGCTGACCTCATATGTAGACATTTGCAGTGAAAAAGCCAAGAGTTTTAAATTTGACTTTTTGTGGAACTAGAACAATTGCCTTTTCAGCTCTGCAGGTGAAATCCTAGAGTTAGGCTCTAATTCTAGATGCTTGCATGGGTTTAAAATGGGCATTGGCCTGCTAGCGAAACTGTTTTACTAACAGACAAAAATAGACCAGAGGAATATTAATTTCTAAAAAGAAAGTTTTCCCTTTTTTTTAAATTTAGTTTCTCAACCAGTCTAGTATGATTCCAAAAGAGGATTTAGAATTGATTTTGGAAATTGGATGAAACACATACTCCTTTCCCACTGGGATTAAGGTCACTAGTAATCATAGTGAGCCATTGTGGAACTAAGATGATTGCCCAGGCAATATGTAAGTGATTATCAGTGATTAAATAGATAATTTAGATATATGGACTTTAGATTAAAATATACCGGTAGCAATGGTCATTTTCTTCCTTCTGCTGTCTTCCTCTCAAAACTGGGGAAGGGATTTAAGTACCTTCTACTTGCTTGCTCCCCCCCCCCTTTAAAGAACTAATTACTATGAGAATGCCTAATGCCTTTCAGTGAATGATAAAAGCATCAGGTAGAAATTTCTAAGTATCTGATTTTTAAATTTTCTCTTTGGAAATGCCACAGAAACTTTGATTTATGAACTTAGTATTGTTTAGTAAATAGTCTTTTATCATTCTGCATCTCCCAAGTTTTAAATTAATAAAAAATGTTTGGTTAATCATTTGATAATAATCTTAATATATCGGGTGTCTGGGTGGCTCAGTTGGTTAAGCGATTGCCTTCGGCTCAGGTTGTGATCCTGGAGTCCCAGGATTGAGTTCTGCATCAGGCTCCCTGCTCAGTAGGGACCCTCCCCCCTCTTATGCTCTCTCTCTCTCTCATTCTCTCAAATAAAAATCTTAAAAAAAAAAAAACCTTAATATATCTACTTTGCTGATGAAGGCTTTAAATTATATAGCCCATGTGTAGCTATACTTTTAGATAAATAACATTTATAGCTTAGCTATCCTATGTTTTTGAAGACTTAACATTGTTAAGATGGCAGTACACCCCAAATTGATCTACAGATTCAACATAATCCCCACCAGAATACCAGTTGATTTATTTGTAGTAATTGACAAGTTTATTTTAAAATTGATATGGAGGGCGCCTGGGTGGCTCAGTTGGTTGGGCGACTGCTTTCGGCTCAGGTCATGATCCTGGAGTCCCGGGATCGAGTCCCGCATCGGGCTCCCTGCTCGGCAGGGAGCCTGCTTCTCCCTCTGACCCTCACCCCTCTCATGTGCTCTCTCTCTCATTCTCTCTGTCTCAAATAAAAAAAAAAAAAAAAAAAATCTTTAAAATTGATATGGAATTGCAAGGGACTTAAAATAGCCATAACAATATTGAAAAAAAACAAAAAACAAAGTAGTAGCATTCAGGCCTTACTGTAAAGCAACAGTAATCAAGATGATGTGCTACTGGCACAAGAATAGACATATAGTGGTGCCTGGTGGCTCAATGGAGCATGTGGCTCTTGATTTTGGGGTTGTGAGTTTAAGTCCCACACTGGGTGTAGGGATTACTTAAAAATAAAATCTTAAAAGAAAAAAAAAAAAAGAGCAGACACATAAATTATTGCAACGGAATAGAGAACCCAGTGGTAAACCCATACATCTGTGGTCAATTGTTTCTTTGGGGGGTGGTTCTTAAGACTTTTTTTTAATGAATAATTTTTTTGAATTGAAGAAAAATTCCTATAAAATAAAATTAACCATTTAATTTATTTTTTTATTTTTTAAAAAGATTTTATTTATTAGAGAGAGCGAGAGAGCACTGGGGGATGGAGGGGGAAGCAGACTCCCCGCTGAGCAGGGAGCCCCACATGGGGCTCCATCCCAGCACAGGGCTCAGTCCCAGGACCCTGGGATCATGACCTGAGCAGAAGACAGATGCTTAACCAACTGAGCCACCCAGGCGCCCCATAAAATTAACCACTTTAAAATGCATAATTCAGGGGGCCTGGCTGGCTCAGTTGGAGGAATGTGTGACTGTTGATCTCGGGGTCATGAGTTCAAGCCTCCTATTGGGTGTAGAGATTAATTCCATAAATAAAACTTTTTAAAGAGTGCATAATTCATTGGTGTTCAGTACAATCACTATGTTGTGCAACCATCACCTCTGTTTAGTTCTAAGATATTTTTGTCATCCCAAATGGAAACTCTGTAACTCCCATCAGCCCGTGGTAACTGCTAGTTGGCTTTCTTTCTCTCTCTAAGGATTTGCCTGTTTTGGATGTTTTATATAAATGGAATATTATCCAATCTGTGACCCTTCATTAACTTAGCCTAATGTTTTTGAGGTTCATCCATACTGTGGCATTTATCATTACTTCATTCCTTTTTATGTTGAATAATATTCCACTGTATGATAAATCATATTTTGTTTATCCATTCATCAGTTGATGGACACTTAGGTTGTGTCCATCTTTTAGCAACTGTGAATAGTGCTGCTGTGAATATTCATGTACAAGTGTTTGTTGGAATACATGTTTTTAATTCTTTGGGGTATGATACCTAGGAGTAGAATTGCTGGGTCATATGATAATTCTATGTTTAATTTTTTGTGGAACTGACAAACTGTTTTCCATAGCAACTGTATCATTTTACATTCCCACCAGCAATGTAGGAGGGTTCCAATTTCTCTACATCCTCAACACTTGTTATTTTCCATTTTTTAAATTGTAGTCATCCTGGTGGGTGTGAAGTGATACCTCATTTGTGGTTTTGATTTGTATTTTCCTAATGATTACCAATGAGCATGTTTTTATATGTGTACTGGTCATTTGTACATCTTCTTTGGAAAAATGTCTATTCAAATCCTTTGCTCACTTAATTAAAAAAAATTTTTCTAGTGTTCATTTGAAATATAGTTGACATACAGTATTAGTTTCAGGTGTACAACACAGTGATGGGACAATTATATATACATTATGAATGCTCACCATGATAAGTAGTTAGCATCTGTCACCATACAAAGTGGTTATAATATTATTGATTATATTCCCTATGCTGTATTTTCATCACTGTGACTTAT